AAAGAAAGGCATCTTCCCGTCATTTAATGTGGTTTTGTGAGTCTGTTGACGAAAACAACGTGCTGATTTATGATGCCAAGTATAATAAATATTTATTGTAACCACTCCTTCCTTCCTCGTTTCTTTTCTTCAATAAAAAATATTAGAAAAACAATCAAAGGATCGACATTCGGCAGTAGGGTTTATTCCTCGAAACCCGCGTATAACTTTTGTGAAATTCTGGTCCTGTCAAGGCAGTCGGGAATCAAGCTTTGTCTTCCGAAGCTCTTTTGTTTGGTTCAGGCAAGTTTTATTTACTAGTTTTATCATATATAATGTTTAATCATCCGACATCTTATAACTTTTTGAGCGAGTATCTTGCATCGTACAAATTCAGCTGGGTTAATGCTTATATATATAATCGAATATCTGTCGAGTTTTTCTTTACTTTTCTTTCGATATTGGATTTTTCATTCAGTCGTTTTTCGATGTTTCGTTCCTGCTGAGAAATCGTTGCAGAAGGGGTAAAAAAGTATGGGACTTATTTCTTTTTTGTGAATAAGGTCGTTCAAATCGTATCTGTTTGTGCGATTTTATTTTCTCCTTCTACTCCTTGAATTTGTGATATACGACGGGATCGTTCGTTAGGATTTTTGGCGAAGTTTTTTGTCCCCGTAATTGGAGAGCTCTTTCTGTTCCGTCTCTTTCTATTGCATTTTTACTTTTATTAGTTTTTACTTAAATTGCGATTATGGAGATTATTAACTTATCTGGAATGAGAAAATCCCAGTATATTTCTCGTATTTATTTTGTTGATTTTAAAAATAGTTTGGGAATCTTCTGTGCTGTCTTAGGGATTTTGACCTGTCCTCCACAAAGAGACGCTTCCTTTTAATCAAAGCCCACTTGCATTATTATCTTAATTATTGCCTGTCTGGATTAGCTGTTTGCAGCCACCTCAGCTTTCGTGTCATTATGTTAGTAGGAAGTGTCAAAATTTTCAATTAGCGGGGGAATGCGGAAATGAATTTCATTTAATATTAAGTGATATTCTTGATATCATATATCTGCTAATGATGATTTCACTTTGGACTGCAGCAAATATCGGCACCAGCTTGTCTTTAGGGTATTAGTGGCTCTTGATTGTTGCACTGAAGTTGAACTGTTTGTGCATGCTGATGTGGATTTATGTGCTTAAGAATTTCCACGGCCCTTGTAAAGTGAGCAGGGAGAGTTTCTCTTGACTACGTGTCGACCTTGGTGATATATGCATATATTTATAAACAATGCAGTTAAGATTCAACTTCATTGTGCTATTTTTGTTCTTTGTGGTGGCATTGTTCATATGTGTTGGAGCAGAGTCTGAAAGTGACATTCTGCATAGAATAAGAGCTGCGCCACACAAAGATATTCGAAGTAATGTTATAGATGGTGCTGGTACAGGGAATGATGTACACTTTGAGGATACCAATAAAGTACTGGGTGAGAGAAAGGGTACTTACAGTAGAGTTTCAGTCTCTGCAGTTGCATTGTTTACGTTGGTGATGGCTGCTGCCACTGGTTTAGGTGCGGTTCCTTTCTTTTTTGTGGAGCTTGATCCTCACTGGGCTGGAATATGCAATGGGATGGCTGCTGGTGTTATGTTGGCTGCAAGCTTTGATCTCATACAGGAAGGACAGGAGCATGGTGCTGGAAATTGGGTTGTTATTGGGATTTTAGCAGGTGGCATTTTTATTTTACTCTGTAAGAAGGTGACTGCTCTTATGTTTCATTCTTTCATTGCTAAATTTGTTATTTAACTGCTGTTTCAAGGTGGCATGTTGTCTTAGAAATTTTATAAATACTTAAATTACTCTCAGTTGCATTTAATGGACATAGTAGATCATTTGGTGTCAAGTTAAGAAGTTTCTAATGTAATTTAATATATTTGTTTCGTCACCACATTGTTACAGTGTCTTGAACAGTATGGAGAAGTTAGCATGTTGGACATAAAGGGTGCAGATGCAACAAAAGTTGTTCTTGTTATTGGAATTATGACTCTTCATTCTTTTGGGGAGGGCTCTGGTGTTGGAGTTTCATTTGCAGGATCAAAGGGTTTCACTCAAGGCCTGCTGGTTACTTTGGCTATAGCTGTACATAACATACCAGAAGGATTAGCTGTGAGTATGGTGCTTGCATCTAGAGGGGTCTCTCCACAAAATGCAATGCTGTGGAGTGTCATTACATCCTTACCTCAGGTAATTACACCATGTTGAGTAATTTTTTGGGCTTTAAATATTTTATGTACCAATAGAGGAAATTTATTACACTGCAGTTTGGTTTCAGATAAAAAGAAAGCAACAATATGATATTTTAAAGAGAATTGTGGTCACTTAGGAATGTTAGAGAACTACCTTCTTGTTCTTGCTTCTGCATGGAGGTTTGCACCTTGGTTCTTGCAGATTTCTTGTGGCTTCAGTTATTTAAAAACAAATATTCAAGTGGAAAGCTTTGAGGCTTGACTATTATTTTTCAGGAGTTATCAATTAATATAGTGTTTTTGCTTGTTTTTTCTGGGTAATTTGGAGGTGCATATCTGGAAATCTGTGCATCTTAGTTTTATCCTTATCAATTGATTTTATTATGAGCTGAAAGAAATGTTTATCCTGGTTTTGGGATTCAAGAATATAACTTTATAAGTGACTAACTGATTCAGAACTTTATTTTCATTCAGTCGAAACCGATTCTGCTTGTAATTCTTTTAACTTATTCATAGTAAATTTTTAATGTTATAAAATTCTTCCAGCCCATTGTAGCAGTTCCCTCTTTCATATGTGCTGATGCATTTAACAAGTTCCTGCCTTTCTGCACGGGGTTTGCTGCTGGATGTATGATTTGGATGGTTGTTGCTGAGGTGCTTCCTGACGCATTCAAGGTATGATCAGCTTGATATTTGAATGCATGGTTGAATCTAAAACTCGAGGACTTATTTTGCTAGAGTTCTGGAATATTTTGATTTACTTTATCATGAGGATTGATTCAAAATATAAAGAAATAAAGTCAAAACTTGAAGCTGAGTTTAGTTTCATATCTTAAGAGACATGGTTTTAGATCTCAATTTTTTCTTTTCTTGTTATAGGAAGCTTCTCCCCCTCAAGTGGCATCAGCAGCCACGCTTTCTGTGGCATTCATGGAAGCTCTTAGCACCCTGTTCCAGAGTTTCAGTCATGACTACAAGTGAGCTTTGTGTAAAACTTAGTACTGTTGATGAAAATATATTGGACCAAAAGTATCATTGCCTTAGCCCTATGCTGGTTTCCATTAGGTTCTTCGTTTTATGTTTGCATTCAGCTACATCTGAAAATTGTCTTATACCTTCCAATTATTTGGTATTTCAGTGCAGAGGATGCTTCTGGTTTTTTCGTTTCGTTGCTCTTTGGTCTTGGGCCATTGCTTGGTGGCTGTATTCTTGTTTCCTTTGCGCTTGCTCTCCATCTTCAGCATGCGTTTCTCATGGGTGCAGCCTCAGGAATCGCCATCATTCTTGGTGCCTGGCGACCACTGCAACTACTTGTGTCTTTGAAGATGGGGTGTGTCTCTATGTTGCTATTGCTTGTCGCAGGAGGTGCATTTGTCCATGTTACAAGCTCCAGTATATTGAATATGGCAAGTTGCAAAAGAGCATCTGTGAATAATTTACCATCCGTAACTGGATTTCCAGTAAGTGTTCTCACCCTCCAGTCATTCTTAGCCTGTGGTGCAGTCGCCTTCCATGCATTAGCAGAGGGGCTTGCACTAGGAGTTGCTGCACCAAAAGCTTATGGACTTGGTCGGCACATGGTCCTTCCTGTCTCACTCCATGGGCTACCTCGGGGTGCTGCAGTTGCTAGCTGTATCTTTGGTACCACTGACAGTTGGCATGGATCTCTTGCATCAGCTGCTGTAATTGGATTTATGAGTCCAATATCTGCATTTGGAGCTATACTTGCTGGAATTGATTACAGTGGCCTCAATCATGTGATGGTTTTGGCGTGTGGAGGATTACTCCCCACCTTTGGGAGGATAATTCAGAGGGCTGTAAGGTTGGATATGCGAAGAAGTATTTCTGGGCTGGTGGTGGGGATGGGATTTGCCACTCTCTGTTTAACATTCACTAAATTGGTTTGCTTGCACACACCTTACTGCAACTCAGCTCCAGAAGCCGTGAGATGAAATATTTTGATGATGAACTAGAGGTTATATAGGTCATCTAGTTATTGAAATGCCTTGTTTTGGCAATTTAACTTGCCCGATTGCGGGCATGATAGATTTGTAGAATACCTTCTGAGAGAGAACAATATGATGCAATGGTAAGTGAAATTCTTACGTACGAAAGAAAATATGAATTTTTTTCTTTTTCAGTTTTTTTTTATTTTTATTTCTTTTATACTCTCTTCTGTATAGTAATTTGTCAGGAGAGCAAGTGACTGCTGATGGGGAATATCCTACTCTTTATGTCTAGATATCTAGGTTTAGATGACTGTGTCTTTATATCTAAAATTTAGTAATTAATCTTGTGTCTGAGAATGTCATTTCCATTATTGCAAAGAAAAGAGAATGAATATTTCTCTTAAACTTTTGCAGATTCCTTACTCCATCTAATCTTCTTTCTTACTCTTATATTCTTTGGTTGCTGTTTTTCTTGAAGTCTTCTTGTTGAACAGTGAAATAGGAAATACATTAGAAGACATTATCCAATGCTTGAGTCAGTTTTTACTTTCATGAAGAATGGGAGAAATGGAATGTGAAGAACTACGAAACTCGAGTTGATATATACCACTCCAATATTATTTGTGCTGTTGATATGCGGCAACGTATTTATCTTTTCATGTGTAACAATATATTCCAAATTAACCTTTTTAACAAAGATAAAATAATATTTTTATTACAAAATATGTGAATTTTTCATTTTGCAACATAGTTTTACTTTTAGTATAATAACATATATAATAATTATTTATTTAAGTTTTTTAAACATAAAAATATAATTTAATTATTGATTCTATTTATTCAACGTGATAATATATAATAATTTATTTCTTTAATTTTTTTAAGTTTTTAAAATATTTTATTTTAGTTGAATACAAATTATATACTACATAATTTTTTGATATATAATTATAATAAACTCAATATAACTAATTTAAATCATAGTTATTTATTTATTTACTGTGATTATCTATTATCTATTATTTGTCTTTTTTTTTTATATAAAAGTAAACCAAAGTATCAATGCATGTGAATTTTTCATTTTGTAAAATAGTTTTATATTTAATATGATAATATATATAATAATTAATTATTTAAATTTTTTAAGTTTAAAAATATAATTTAATTTTTAGTTGACTAAAAAATACACAACATAATTTTTAAATATATAACTAAAATAAAATTAATGTGATAATGTATATCATAGTTATTTATTTATTCAATGTGAAATATGCATAATAATTATCTATTTCATTTATATGAATATAAAAATATAATTAAACTTTTAATTGAATACAAAATTTAGAATTATGTACTATTTGAACTCTTATCACCTAATTTTCTTCTTACACCTCATTCGTCTTGCAGATTTTTCACCAAAATTTAATGTAGGCTAATTTTATCACATTTTTATTAGAAATTTTTCTACATTTATATAATTTTTCATATAAAATAATATTTTATATTGTTATGTAATAATAAAAATTATTCTGTACGTAATATATGACATCCTGTTACCCAGTAGGTAAAGGATTCTAATAATATAATAAATATGAGAGTAAAATAAATCATTTATAAAACGTTTGATGTTCAAATACACTTGAGGCCAAGAAGATGGCTAACAAAGATATACACAACATTGTTTCAAACCACTTTTTCATTATTAAAGGAATAATTCATTAGAGTACAATTATCCAAATACATTCAAAAGTCCATTACAGATCCGTGAATGGATCCAAGTAAGCAGGGCAGGTCGGGAAGTGATTCTTCACTATCATCATCGTTTGGGAGGAAATGAATTGGAGTGAGTTCCATAAAGCTCAATAAGAAAAATTATATCCAAACTACAATACTAAAGTTTCAAAGATTATTTATTTTCAAAACATGTTATTACCTTAGAAATTAGTGACTTACCTCTAGACTTGTTGCAAAATATATTCATTTGAAAAATTGAGAAAACGTTTACTTTTTAAATCTATTAGAAACATTCGATTTCTAGTCTCAAAAAAGTAAAAAACGGAGTAGCGCAACATAAAAGAACTAATGATGCAACGAAATAATGAACAATATAGCAGAAACTAGTTAAGCAATTAAACATGGCAAGACATGACGGAACAGTGAGTAACAGAATGGAAACCAGTTGAACCAACTAAAACCATGGCAATGTCATGACAAAACAGTGAGAAACATATTAAATTCAAGGAAACTACCAAAACATGGAAAATCAATCAACAGTTCTAGCTATACCATCAAATGGTTTAGTTCGTTTACAGCTTTAACAGATATTTGTGTGAAACTATTTTAACTTTATCAACAGAGGATAGTAAGGATCCCTAACTATCACTGTGAATGAAAAACAATTCAGTTCTATTTATAGTATAACAATTAAAACTAATGACCATGACCATACTTCTCCATTGTGGCCCCTACAATAACAGTTGAAGACTAATGACCATGGTTGTACTTCACCACTGTGGCCCCTACAATTAGTCGTGATTCCATTCTCATTAGATAGAATACTAATATCATTCACAAGAAGTGGTTCACCAACAATTAGTAGCTATCAAATTGGTAACCCCTCAGTGATAACAACAAATGGATTTTCAATATTTCCACTTTCCTTCTCAGTTCAAAATTATCATTTATTTTTACTGTCGACCCAATGGGGTCCACAATCCAATCTTGTCCTGGTAAAGACTAATATACTGGATTAAACCATTGGGTTACCCTTCGACTTAAGGCCCAAATGGGCTACCCTTTTAACCAACGCTTTAGAAGCAAGGTTGAGGATCCAACCCGCACATATGGCATATCATATAAAACAATCTTAATATCTAAATCATGTATGTACACGATACGA